AAAAAGGGAGAGAGAGTGGACAGAGTGGGCATTAGTGTCAGAATTAAGGTAATTTGCACTTGGTGGATGGGGAAGGGGACTTAGTGCCACTCAGGTCCAGGACATTTGCATTCTGCAAGTCCAGAGCCTGTGTTCAGTCTTCACATTGCTGTGTTGACCAGGGTCCCCTTCTCCTTGCAGCTGTGGCCCCATCAATGTGAAAACAGAGCCCATGGAAGATCCTGGTGGGTATACTAATGCTTTTACTCTTGAGTATTTAAATTTTTAATTTATTTTTGTTATTTATTTTGTTATTTACTTATGTGTATATGGGAGGGTATATGTATGTGAGTGCAGTGCTTGCAGAAGACAGAAGAGACATTACATCCCCAGGAGCTGGAGTTACACCTGGTTGTGAGCTGCCCACTGTGGGTGCTGGAGCCAAACTCATGTCCTCTGAAAGAACAAATATGCTTTTAATCACTGAGCTGTCTCCCCAGCCCCACATTCAAGTATTTAATGGGTTATTCTTTGACTGATTTTTATTTACTTTTTAGAAAATGAGTACTAAGATACTAATTAGCAATAACTAGGACCTTACTCACATAATACAAGGTGAGTATCCCTGATAGAAAATGTTTGGCTCAGACCAGCACGATGTCTCAGCAGGTAAGGGAGCTTGCCGCCAGGCCTAACAACTTCAGCTCAATCCCCAGGACCCACATGGTGGAAGGAGAGAACCAACTCCTGCAAGTTGTCTTCTGACTTTCACCACACACCAGGGCGAATGTACACACATGCGTGCGCGCACGCGCACACACACACACAGAGTAAATGAATAAATGTAATAAGATGTTCAGCTCCCGGGCCAGTGAGATGGCTCAGCAAGGAAAGCTGTGTTTCAAGCCTGATGACCTGAGTTTGATCCCCGGGATCTACATGGTGGAAGGAGAGAACTGACTCACAAGTTGTGCTCTAACCTCCGCATGTATACTGTGACATACACACATGCACACACGATAAATAAATAACTAAAATATAATAATAATAATAATAATAAAGTTTGGTTCCAGAAGTGCCACCAATTTTGGATTTTGTCAGATTTGGGAACATTTTTTCAGGCTGAGACAGAGTCTCAGGCTTGAAATGGATCCCCCTCCCTCAGCCTCTGAAGTATTGAGATAGAGCACAGGTGTGAAACATCATCACGTGTGTGTGTGTGTGAAGAGGGTGTTAGGTGTCCTCTGCCACTCCACCTATTCCTTTGAGGCAGGCAGGGTCTCCCTGAACCTGGGACTCCTGTTTTATTAGCTAAGCTGGAAGGCAGCAAGCCCCCCGGCAGTCCTTCCCTCTCAGTCTGCTTGGAGTTGAGGTTGTGGGCATGCATGTGATGCCTAGCTTGTGTAGGTGCTGCGATCTGAACACCAGTTCTCATGATTGCACAGAAGATGCTCTAACCACTAAGCAATCTCTCCACCCGCCATACGGCTTTTGGATTTTTAGAAAGATTTACTTTTATGAGTATGAGTGTTTGCCTGCATCTAAGTATGTGTACTCTGTAGATGCCAGAAAAGGGCAGTGGACTCCTGGAACTGGAGTTACAGATGGTTAGCCTCCATGTGGGTGCTGGGATCTGAACCCAGGTCCTATGCAAGAGCAGCCAGTGATCTTAAGCACTGAGCATCTCTCCTGCCCCTTGTTTTTGGATTAAAAAAAAAATTGACCAAGACCCAAGCCAAACAACTGAGACCAGTGAAGCCTCCAGCATCAGGGCTAACCATGCGAGATTTCAAGACGGCACTCCACCGCTCAGTCTGTTCAGCTGCATTCCTCTTTGTTCTGCTGGATTTTCTCAGAGCTACTGCTGTAGTATGACCTGGAATGTCCCCAAAAGGTCCCCAGTGATGCACTGTGGGGAGGGGTGGCCTACTGGGAGGTCTTAGGTCATTGGAGGTGTGTCCTGGAAGGGGACTGTGGGATCTGGGCCACATCCTTAGCTTTTCCTTCCTGGTGATGACCATGAGCAGTTCTCTGCCATGGGATTCTGCCTCATCACAGGCACGGAGCAGTACTGGCTATCATGGACTGGTTCCAAATCAGTGAGGCAAAACCTTTCTGCTCTCTCTTCCCCTCTTTTTCCCTCCCTTCCTCCTCCCCTTATTGAGATAGAGTTTTATGTAGCCCATGCTGGCCTCAAATTCACTGTTAGCCAAAGGTGATCTTGAACTTCTGGTACCCCAGCCTCAGCCTTGGGTGTGGTCTCATGTGTGCACCTGTAACCCCAGTGTTGCTGTGGCAGGGATGTGATTGCTGAGGCTAGCTGGTCACCAGCCCAGCTCCAGCTCCAGTGAGAGACCCTGAGTGGTGGGCAGGCAGACGTGGAGCACCATACCCTCAGACCTGATGTTTCCTAGCTGGCTGTGGCTGCTTTGACCTGACTGATCTCCGTTGCACTCACAGGTACTTCAGTGAAAGCAGCAGCCATATCAATCAAGAAAGAGTCGGAGGACCCCAGTTACGATCCATGCAGTAGGCAAGGTAATGCTGTTTGACTGGTACTTCATCATGATGGAAAATGGCAATCGCTACCCATCTGAGAACTGCTAAAGACGAGCAAAGGGACGTGGTGGAATGGCTCAGTGCATAAGAGCACTTGCTGTGCAAGCATAAGGACCTGAGTTCAAATCCCCAGCACCCAAGTAAAAGTTGGGTGTCGTCTTGTGTGCACCTGTAACCCCAGTGTTGCTGTGGCAGGGACAAGATCGCTGAGGCTAGCTGGTCACCAGCCCAGCTCCAGCTTCAGTGAGAGACCCTGTCTCAGGGAATAAGGTAGAGCGTGACAGAGCAGGACAGGACACCCCTTGTCCTCCTGTGGTGTCTGCAAGTGCACACAGACAGCTGCACCAGCCACATATGTGCACATACACCACTCACACACACACACACACACACACACACACACACACCCCACAGAGAGGATGTATATGTGTTGACTAGATCTAGCATGCTGCCTTTCAAGTTATAGGGCAAATTCATTTTAGCTTACTTTCAATGGGGCATGGTGGTCTACACCTGTAATCCCAGCACTCAGAAGATGGAAGTGGGAGGGTCAAGAGTTCAAGGTCATCCTCAGCTACATAGTAAGTTAAGGCTACCTGGGGCTGCATGAGACCCTGCCTTCAAAATTTATAAAAAACGGTCTAGAGAGATGGCTCAGTGGTTAAGAACACTGACTGTTATGAAGAGTACCTGGATTCAGTTCCCAGCACCCACATGGTGGCTAACAGCCATCCTTACTCCAGTTCTAGGGGATCTGATGCTGTCTTCTGACCTCCGTGGGCATTGTGCACACAGGTACATTTACATACATGCGGGCAAACACTCATACACATAAAATAGATACATTTTTTTAAAATATAGAAAAAGAAATCTCACTTTGCAGTGGTGCAGGTGTTTGTAGTCATCCATACTACTTGTCCTAGTTTGTTCTCCATTGCTGTGACAAAATACTCTGACCAATACCAACTTTGGGAAGAAAGGGTTTATTTAGCTTACATATCCCAGGTCACAGTTTATCAGGGAGCCCAAGGCAGGAACTCAGGGCAGGAACCTGGAAGCAGGAGCTGGAGCACAGGCCATGGAGGAGCACTGCTTACTGGCTTGCTCCTGTGGCCCCTGCTCAGCCTGCTTTCTTATACAACACAGGCCCACCTGCCCAGGGGTGGCACCACCCACAGTGGGCTGGGTCCTCCCACATCACTCCCTCAATATTCAAGAAGATGTCCAACAGGCCAGTCCAATAGAGGAAATTCCCCAATTGAGGCTCCCTCAACCCAGGTGTGTCAAGTTGACACTAAAGCTATCCAGCACACTACTGTAAGTGACTGCTCAGTTTGGGGGGTTTTATTTTCGGGGGGGCTGGTTATTTTAAGACAGAATCTCCCTGTAACCCTAGCTGGTCTGAAACTTGCTATGTAGACCAGGCTGCTCTCACAGAGATCTGCCTTTCTTTGCCTTTCACATGTTAGGCTAAAAGGTATGTGACATCATACCTGACTTCAGGTATTTTTTGTTTTTTGTTTTTGTTGTTGTTTTGATATAGGATTTCATGTAGCCCAGGCTGGCCTCAAACTTGCTATATGGCTTGGGATAACCTTGAACTCCTGATCCTCCTGCTTCTACCTCCATAGTGCTAGAGTTAAGTTTATGTAGTGCTAGAGATGGAACCCAGGGCTTTGTGCATGCTAGGCAAGCACTCTTACCAACTGAGCTACAGACCAGCCCTTGAATTGTTTCCATTGTATTCAGTGACTTCTTGTTTCTAAATTTTTTAAAAAACTTTTGTTTATTGATGGGCATGGTGGCCCATGCCATTAATCTCAGTACTTGGCAGGCAGAGGCAGGAGGATCTCTGTGAGTTCAAGGCCAGGCTGGTCTACATGGCAAATTTTCTAGGCCAGCCAGGGCTACAAAGTGAGACCCTGTCTCAAAAAAAAACTAACCCCCCTCCCAAAATTTTTTTTGTTTTTTTTTGTTGTTCTTGGGGATTTTTGTTTGTTTGTGGGTATTTTTAATATATTTTTAAAAATTTTTATGTGTATGAGTGTATTGCCTGTGTCTGTAAGTGCACCTGTGTCGTGTAATGCCCACGGAGGTAGGAAAAGGGTGTTGGATCCCCTGGAACTGGAGTTGTGAATGGTTGTTAGCCACTGTGTAGGTGCTGGGAACCAAACCTGGGTCCTCTATAAGAGCAGGCAGCGCTCTAGCCCCTGTTTGTTTGGGGTTTTTTTGAGACAGGGTATCCCTGCAGCCCCAACTGGCCTGGAACTCACTATGTAGACCAGGCCTTGATTTCGCAGAGTTATACCTGCCTCTGCCTCCTGAGTGCTGGAATTAAAGGCGTGCACCACCACACCCAGCTTTTATTTGTTATTTTACTTGTATGAATGTTTTGCCTGCTTGTCTGTATATGTACCATGTGTGTTTAATACCAGAAGAGGTTAGAAGAGCGTGTTAGATATCCTGGAACTAGAGTTACAGACGATTATTAGCCACCATGTGGGTGCTGGGATCTGAACCCAGGTCCTCTGCAACAGCAGCAAGTTCTCTTAACTGCTGAACCATCTCTCCAGCCCCGTTTTTTCTAAAATTTTTACTACGTTTTTATACATTTGGCGGGGGGGCGGGGTGCTAGAGTGTCAAGGTATGTGTGTAGCGGTCAGAGGACAACTTGCTGTAGTCCACTCTCTCCTTCTACCATGTTTGTCCTGGGGATCAAAGTCGGGTCACCAGGCTTGGCTGCAAGCACCTTTACTCTCTGAGCTATCTTGCCAGCCTCAGTGGCTTCTTTATGCACCGTGTTTCTTCTGGTGTCATGTGCATTCATTCTTTCAGGAAGCCAGCACTCCACACGAAATGAAGTCATAGAAATGGAAGTTCCGATGGAGGGTTAGTAAGATGAAATACATCCCCCTCCCCTAACACAGATGTTGGGAAACAAAGTGGCTTCCTAGGGAACCTCTCACTCACTACCCCCACCCAAACCCCACCCCAACCCCACCCCACCCCTAGCCCTGTGCTGCA